TACATCATCAACTACAACTACAATTTCATGCATGAGTTTGGATAATTTGGAATACAGATCCTATACATCTACTACATGATTGATTTTGTGCCATATTTGATAGTTATCAACAGTAGTAAGAAGAAGAACACAGTTCACTAGCATGTTTCACATTTACTTGTGAAAGCACACACAAAAATCTGCCTAAGTAGAAAGTACTCTGCCTCTATTATTCCGCAATTATTCTCCTGTGTTCTCAGTTTCTACTTTTCTTTGCATGGAACAGCCAGCAGCCTTTGCCAAGCAACAATGCAGATATGTATCTTGACTGAGAAGGACGCTGTTTTTTCATATACACAGCAACAGTCATAACTCATAACTGAGTTTGTTTTAATTTTAAGTCATAAAACAAATAAACCACAGTTAAAATCTTACATAATGTTACAGTGATTCCCCACTAGTTCCATAAATTTACAACAGGCCCATAAGCTTAAACCAGAAAAGGAGAAAAAGAGAAAAATATTTGGGCCCAATTCCCCTTAAGCCCTAGGACCATGAGCTTCTCTGCTAAGTGTTAGTTAAGTGCCGCTGCTGTAGTGAAAGTGCAGGTGCAAGTGCAACCCTAATTCCCTCTTGCTGCCACCATCCTCCCAATACTCCTCCATCTGCGTTCTGAATCATTTGCCATAGGAATTTAGGTTTCACTTGCACCAGCACTTTCACAACAGCAGCCCGGTCTTCACCAAGGAGACCCCTTGGCACCCTTTTCGTTCATCATAGTTGCAGAGGGTCCAAGTGGGCTTATGAGAAAAGCAGTAAAGAAAATATTATTTTCTGATTTTACAGTTGGGAAGTACAAAGTTGAGGTGAACTTATTGCAGCGATGACACTACTTTTTGTGGGCAAAGCTTCTTTAAAAATTGAGGTGAAGAGTATTATGAGGTGCTTTGAGCTGGTATCTCAACTAAAAGTAAATTTTTTCAAAAGCAGCTTTGGGGGTATGGGTTTGGAAGACGTGAGTTGGGGACATATGCTGTGTTCCTTAATTATAAGCCTTTTCATTACCTTTTGTGTATTTAGGTATCCTGATTGGTGCATATTTGAGGCGTGAGGACACATGGAAGCTAATCATTCAAAAGTTTTCAAAAAAAACTAGCAAGATGGAGTCAGAGAGAGCTATCTTTGGTGGGGAGGATTTGTCTTATAAACTCGGTTCTCTCATCTTTGCACATGTTCTTATCCTTTTTTAATATGCTGGAAAAAGTGACAAGAAATATCAAAAGTATCCAAAGGGGTTTCTGGTGGGGAAGTAAGAAAAGTGAAAGGAAGATTTCGTGGGTGAGTTGGCAGAGGATTTGTAGGCCTAAGAACTAAAGGGGGTTGGGAATTAGAGGTATTAATGTGTTTAATGATGCCCTCCTCCTAACTAAATGGAGATGGGGATTATTTCATCATAGGGGAGCTTTGTGGGGAGATATTCTTTGATCTAAGTATGGTGGTTGAGAAGGTCTTATTGTGGAGGAGAGGAGCAACCTTTTCTCTTTATGGTGGAGGGACTTAAGAAGAGTATGTGGAGGAGAGTAGATATAGATGGTTTGACAAGGTGTGCTCTTGGGAGGTAGGGGATGGGAGAAGGGCTAGATTTTGGTTTGGTAATTGGGGGTGGGGGGTGAGGAGTGTCTAGCCAAAACAAAACATAGACTCTTTTTGAATTCTGAATAGCAAAATGCATTTATTGCTGACATGGGGAAATGGGATGGAAAAGAATGGGGTTGGGATTTGAAGTGGAGGAGAAGGTGGTTTGAATGGAAAGTGGATATGGTAAATCACATTAATCAACTTCTCCAAAATGGTAAGCCTAGGAATACAGGTCCGGATAAATGGGTGTGGCAGGAGAAAAATTCAGGGTTATACTCCGTCAGTTCAGCAAATAGAGCAATAAGTTGCAAGCACTTGGAGCTATCAAAAAGTAGTCTTTTCTCACAGTTATGGAAATTCCAGGCTCCACCCACGGCAGCAGCTATCACTTGGCAAGTCTTCCTTAACAGACTTCCAACTCGAGACAATCTTGTTAGAATTGCACATAAGATGATTTGGTCATGTAAGCTGAAGACGAATAGAAACCTAGTAAGGGCCTGTTTAGATAAACTTTTCCAAAAGCACTTCTAAGAGAGAAAAATAAGAAGAAAAATTGAAATGAGTTTCTCCATAAGCTAAAGCTAGCTTTTCATGAATTAAAAATAAGATTTTAAAGAAGCTAATAGGAGAGAGCTTCTACAAAATTAGCTCATGTATAAGTTAATTTTAGCTTACGGATAAGTTTATTTCATTTTTCTTCCTATTTTTTCCTTCCTAGAAGTGTTTCTAGATAAGTTTACCCAATGGGCCCTAAAATGGGTTGGATCAAATGGAGAAAGACCACGAAAAGCTCTAAGTGAAAGCATTAAAAAGGACTTTAGATCTTGAATTGTCTCTTTAAAGGCCTGATTTTTGATATACCATAACAGAATCACTGGATCCACATAGCCTACCCCACCTAGTGGTAAGGCATTTGTGATGGTTGTTGAAACACACAAATTGAGCATACCTTAAATCTTTGCAAAACACAGACTGCTAATTTCTTGTTTCAAAAGGTACATACAGTAGGGTGATGAACAACGAAATAAACATTTTACGGCAGCATCCTGGAGTTACCCAAAATTGAAAAGACAGCTGCCAAACATTCAGCCAATAACTTATAATCTAATGAACACATATAGCTTGCACTGGGATCTTGAGATGACAACAACAATTGAACTGTTACACTACACATATAAGCACCATATTACTTTCAAATATTCCATTGGGCAAAAATTACCAATTATAGAGGACCAAAACAAAAACCTTCAAAAGAAGTTGAAATACCTAGCAATGTGAAATTCTATTTTCACTCAACAGAGATTCTCTATTCAAGTAGAAATCATAAAATATTCAGCTTAAAAGAATTCATGGAACCAAAGCAAACTCATACTTCACAAAATATTCAGCACACGTGGAGCCTAATTTAGCAGTATAACAGAATGACATTCACATGCTTCTCTTTAGATTATCTATATCTTACATCATAAACATCACAACTCTCCCAAAATCCTCCATAATTTCATCTTCAAGATAACAACCCAAATGACATAACGTGAAAAGGCAAAATTTGAGTCATCGACCTCAACAGAACTTTAACAAAATGTAGTCACACTACCACTTTCTGGTACCACGTTTAACACAGAACTATACCTCATGTTGTCTATCACCATAATCAAACCAAGACATGTCCTCACCCTGACTGATCAAACATGCTGGCAACTTAAAAGTAAAACTAAATCCCAAAATAGAAAGCAATATGACAACGAACAGCCTAAATTTTACCTATCACTAGTCCTGAAGACAGCTCCAGCATTCTCCAGCAAGATCTTCAACAACTCCAACGCCACAATCTTCCCCTTCATCAACTGCGGGTCAGCGGACGCCTCCTTTGGTGGCGTCTTCATGGACAACTTACAAAGAGCTCTGAACACCAAAAAAGCATCTCTCCTGAGCTTATTCCCGATCTGAATCTCCAAATCATCGTCCCTCTCAACCAGCTCCCCATCCACCAGCTCCCCTTTCCTACCCTCCAACGCTGTCTTATACATACTGATCTCCCAATACTTGGCATCCAACATGTCCTTGTCAGTGGAATCCAACAAATCCGCCGGATTCGCGGCCTCCACCGTCGATGTGGTGGTCTCAAATGCGCCGTCGTGGCCGCTCAATGCCGACGATGGCGACACCGGATTCAAAACTCCATCAATGTCCTGCACAATCCTGGTGATAAAACCCTGCACAGACTGCGTCATGGAATTATCCACATCAGATTTCTCCAAAGGCTCCATCAATTCAGCCACAACAATAGGCTGAACCGGAACCGTGGACGAATCCGCCTCCATCCTCCTAAACACAATCACTAACATCTGAATCAACGACGCTTTCGCCGTCGTCTGATTCACCACATTTTTACTCCCTAGGTATATATCATAACAAGTTCTCACAATCAAGAGCAAGCAATCACCGTGAATTCGCAGCGAAATCGAGGTCACCGCGGATAAGAGCGTCTTCAGCACGAGCAATTCGACGGCGTCGTCGCCGAAGTCGTGGCACTTGCACACCGCCTCGATCAGGCTCGCGAGCTTCGCCTCGGGCGCGCCGCCGCCGGAGTCCGCCTCGCCGCGGAGGAAGCCGTGCGCGATGAGTCGCTGCACGGCGTCCACGGCGGGATCCGCGATCTTCACGACGCCGGAGGCTGCGGCGGCGATGAGCGGGCGGAGGATCGACTCCGACTCGGCGAGCGTGTACTCCACGGGGCCGCCGTCGTGGATCGGGCCGGGGACCGAGGCCTCTGGCTCGGCGGCGG